CTCACAAAGTTTGGGCTACAGTAAGCTAGAGCGTGCCTCCCCAGTCGCCAACCCTACACAGTTAACAGATTGAACACACACTAAGCTACACAGTTGGGAAATATCATAATTTAATCCTTAATTTGCCTCGGTGTGTTCTACATCTATATCCTCAACAATATGCCTTAAACTAGGCCTAAGAATGCCTAGAATGGGATGAGGATGCAAAGATGCACTCATAAAGCAGTTTCAGAATTTTCAGAAAAACAGAGTCCCGCTCGAGCGCAGGTTTACCTGCTCGAGCGGTCATGCAACAGAGGTGCACGCTCGAGCGTCGACTTTCCCGCTCGAGCGTACTGTAAAAGTACTGGATGGGTGAAATCTCCGCTCGACAGACGCCCGACGCCCGCTCGAGCTTGAGACACATGACTCCGCTCGAGCGCCCAATCCTCCGCTCGAGCGGACTATAAAACAGTGCAGAGATACTGGATGCTCGGATTCCACGCTCGAGCGGAACTTCCCCCGCTCGAGCGGAAGTGCAAAATCTGGGAATTCCAGTTCCCAGATTGCACCTCCAAGCCAAAACCCAGGTTCAAAAGCATCAAAATCGATCCTCTTGGGCTGATTTCTGGAAAAACACTTGTAAACACATGGAATAACCTGATTCAAAGCTCAATTTTGAGAAATCAAAGCCCAATGGTGTTTTATTCAAACCCAATTTCAAACCAATTTCATGAACATGGAGAACATGCAAACATGCATGAATTCAAACCATTTCAAAGCTTCAATTTAATGCTCTAAGGAGCCAATTGTCTCCAAAACATAATGAAATCATGGACTTAAACATAATTGTGAACATGCATGTAACATTTTGCCATGAACTCAACTCAGAATCCAACAATACTAACATGCATGCAAAGATTGAGCTTCAATTCAACAACAATGAACCAAAACATGACTTAGTTTTACAATGAAGCATGAATCATGCATGAACAAGATGAACAAGAGGGTAATTACTCTACCTTAGGTCTCCAATGCAAGACTAGGAGGTCAATTTAGCAATCTACACTTCAATTACCAAGCAATTCTACCAATGAACTCAAGCTCAACTCAATTCTCTCACACTCTCTATTTCCCTCTCTCTAGTTGGTGATGTGCTCAAAAGAAATGGCTGAGCAAATGCTTATAACAAGTATAAGGCTCAAATGTGTGAGATAGTGGCCCACTAGGGGCAGTTTGGTAATTAAGTCCAAAACTCTTTAATTAGCTCATTTTAATCTAATTTAATCATGCCTAATCAGTTTTTTTTGATAATTTCACCATAAAATCACATAAATTATGATGATCATGAAACATCAATCAATTCCCGGTTCGGCCGCCGATAAGGCCTTCAATTAGCAGTTTAAACATAAAACACGAACAGATCAAATAATCAATCAAACAGATAGAATACAAATTAACACACACATACTCAGTCAATTCGATTCCAGTTTTTAGTCAGTCAGTTCAGTACTTTAATCGGTTCAATTATCAGTCATAATCAGTTCAGTTTAACGGTAATCAATGTTTATCGGTAATCTATCAGTCATTAATCGGTAAATAGTATGAGGGTTGTTATACTCAGCCATGGCTGTCAATGCTTCCCTTGGACCTAAACATTCCAATAATAAACCATCTGCCCCCCTTTTTGTAGAGAGCATTACCATACATTATCTATTGCATAGCTTGCAATTTGATTTTTCTGCTGACTTTCGAAGATGGGCCAGCTAGATACTGCATTATTGAATGCCTCCAATCTTGTTCTTGTAAGTCATTATGATTAACTTCCAGGACCACATCCTTTTTATTTAAAGGTGGTATTACTTTCTGATATGTTGTTTGGCTTATGTCCCATTGAGTATTATCCCTTCTCTTGAAATTCAAAGCTTCCTGAGCTGCATCGTTAGCTTTATTATTCAAGAATCTTGGAATATAAGTTACATTTGCTATCTGAAATTGAGAAAGCAAATGTAATGCAACCACATAGTATGGCAACATGCTTACACTTTGACATTTGAAAATTCCTTTCACCTGGTTAACTTCATATAGTCATTGTTGGTAAATTCACCACACTGAGTAGCAAACCTAGCAATATGCTCAACCGTTGACTGGTTTCCATTTTCATAAAAAAGAGCAAAATCTAGTATCCTAAAGCCTCTTGGGTATTCATGTACCCTATCTACCCATTCTGGGTATGGTTTCCTGTACATAGGAGTTTGAACCTCCCGAGCCATTGGTCTATACATCTCCCTAACAATATCAGCAATTTGGTCGTTGGGGACCATATTTTGTACTTATTGAACCACTACTAGAGGAATAAACATAGGATTTGGTGGACAACCTTGTGCCTGTGGTCTTCTTGGTCCATAAGGTGGTATGTTTGGGACTGGTTGTCCCTGTGGTGCTGGCTGCTGTTGAGGGTATGAGTGACCCCTTTGAGCCTGTCCTGCAAAAGGACCTGCGAAAGGTGCTGGAACAGGTGTCGTGTCTCTCCCAGTTGTAGGAAAACCTTTCAACCCCCCGGGTATAAATTCAAACAAAGGATTAGTGAACCCTCTCGTGCTAGGTATGGCTTCTAACATGGGATTTGGAACCATCTTTATGCCATTATCTTGTGTTGGGCCAGATCCACCAATTTACATGGCTTCACTGTTAAGTAATGAGGTATTTTGACTTGCCATAGGCCTTGAAAGAGGCTCATACCAAGACTGAGGTGGTGGTCTTTCATAGTTTTGGCTACTAGTTTGACCATTAGCATGTTCATTACTCTGCATAGGCTGTTTATCCAATCTTTGCTGAAGGACATTTGAATTTTCCTCTATATGCTTTACATTAGTTGGTTGATGAGTAGTCATTTGATCCAAAAAGGATGTTGCCATCTTTCCATGGTGTTCATTAACTGCTGTCCCATGGCATTTACTAGGCCACCCCATGGATTCATTGGCTGAGTAGATAGAACAATGGATGGTCCAATTCCTTGGCCTCGTCCAATACTTTGAACATGTGGTACTTGTTCCAAAGTGCTGGTCTGTTCGACCATAGGTTTTGATAAAACAGATACTTCCACAGGATGTGTCATCATATTATCCTTTAGATTAGGCATTTCTACCTTTCCTTCCACGCCTTCTTCCAGGCGTTCATTTTCTCTTTGTCTTCTACGTTTAGCCATTTTTAATTAGTCCCACTGGGCGTACCAAAAATATATTTTGGCTTTTTGGCTTTCGAAGGTTATTTTTGTAATTGTGAGCGTGCCAGTAAGGATCAATCAGTCCTTACAAAATGTTAATTGCTAACCAATTATCAGACGATTGTGTTTTAGTTCTTTCAGCCTCAATGAAGAGGACTTTTACTGGTGGCTTTGTTTAGGAAAATTAAGTAAACAATAATTAAAGGAAGGACAATTGTAATATTTCATTAAGTAAAATGAAAGACTTACAAATATCCAAATCAGCCTCGTAGAGGTTTATAGCAACAATCTACTTGAAACTACTCCTATGAATGAAGTGCAGTGCAAGAATTTGAAGTACAAAAATGTAAAGAACAAGAAATATAAAAAACTAGAAAGAAAATAAAGTAGATATAGATTGGTTTTCTTGATCTGAGTCTGGGGGTACTTTCTAGGGTCTTCTCTGCTATTTATATTTCTCAATGGCAACCGTCGAACTGCATTTCTAACCATCGAACCATCCTTTCATGATTGCTGATCATGTTGCCTTTTAGTTAGCTCCACTATGCCATATCTGCAGTTAGGTTTCCCTCTCAATTTTGAATTTAAATATAAATAACCGTTGAAGGCACATCATCTTGCATTTCTTTGTTGATCCAGTACTACGCAGATCTACAAAAACCAAAACTAATTGCCACGTGCATGATTATGATTCTTGAATTGCTTTCCCGTATTGTCCTCGTCCTGCCATGTGTTAAATTGTGATTGGCTTGTACAAAATATGTAGCCAACAATATTACACACAAAAAATGAAACATGATTCTTTATTAATTGTCATTATGTTTTAGTAATTCCCATGCATCCAAATATTAACTGTATGTGATGATATGAATGTTCATATTAGAAGACGCGAATGTGAATGTTTATATTAAATGACGTGAATGTTTACATTAGATGACATGAATGTGAACGTTCACATCAGATGACGTGTGATAAAGGTGATGTTAAAGTTCACATCAGCATTACATCAAATTATACAACCACAAGTCTCAACTTTCATTTAAATATAAATATGACTGTATGTAATGACGTGAATGTTTACGTCAAATAACGTGAATGTGAATGTTTACATCAAATGATGTTGTGATAAATGTGATGTTAAGGTTCACATCAGATAAAAGAGAATGTTCACATTATTTTTAACGTGCTGTCAATTAAAAATATATTCACATTATATGATAATATAAAATAACAACATAAATATTGTTTAATTTGTGTACAAAATTTCTTATGCATGGGTCATTTCCCTTCTCTTCCCCCCTCCCACATTAAATATCAATATTAAATATAAGGGTATAAGAGTCTAATAAAATAGTGTAAATTAAGAAAAAAAAGACTTAATAGAATAAAACCATAAATACATGGGATTAAGTGGGTTAAAAATTTTGTTCATGAACTTCTTGGGTTAGAACACTGTTAAATGAGAATTATCAATAAAAATTCTTTTTAAAAATTATATCATACACCTTAAAAAAAAAAAAGTGGATATTCTAAAAAGGAATACCCTTAAAATTTCTAATCATATAATAAAGGACTCGTTTTATTAACAAATTATTAGTTTTTAAGAATGTGGTTAATATATTTTAACTAATAATTTTGATAATTTTATTATTATACAAAAAAATAATAATAAAAAATTATAATTTATATTTTAAATAAATATGCATGTGTAATTTATCCTTATTTAATTTTTTTTTTTTAAATTAGTGATTTTTTTTTATTTGTTTCTAATATGTGGCTCACTGTCCACTTCCCCAATTGAATGGCTGGGAGCGGACCAGCAACAGTGAACAATCAATTGAGAGACTCCATACATACCCGAATACAGAGAGCTTCACAATTCACCCAGTTCTGATCAACCACAACCCTATCATAAATCTCCACAACTCTCTTTGCTCTCCAATCTTCAAGGTTAGTTCCAAAAATCACAATCAACATTTTCTGTTTCTCTTGCTTTCTCTGTTTTTATAGTACAACCCATTTAACATACATTCAATTATATCTTGACACAAACTTACATGCCTTGACTATCGTTACCAGTTAATTTTCACTTCCCTGAAAACATTTTCTCGAGAAAATGCAAGCTCTGAGCATCTGGCCCTCGAAAAATGAGTTTTGGGTAGTACCCAAATTAGATATGGAAGTATCCCAAGTGGGTTCATATTGTATTGCAAGCACAAAGAGAAGGTGTGGTCTCGTATTGGTTTCAAGTAGTTCAAGGGGCATTAAGAGTAGGGCTTGTTTTGGTTCTGCTCAATTTGATATAGAATTTAGGCTTTTCTCTGAATACTCGAAATTTAAAGTGTGTGTCTATTGTGAGCCAAAAAAGAAAGGTTCTTTTGGGGCGTCTGTGGCATTGTCATGGACACTTGAAGGCCAAGAAATTGCAGATGAATTTGTTAAAGAAGATTCAGGTTTATTGTCAGGGAATAATGTTAAGTGTGACAATGTAGATGAAATAAAAAAAAATGTGTTGGTTCTTGATGAAAATAACAATCCAGAAGAAAATGAAGAAGGGAAGGATGTTGAAAATGAGAAAGTAGGGAAAAAGAAGAGTGCTAGGGTTGATGTACGCTCGCTTGCGTGGAGCTTAAGGTTTGCAAAAACTACTGAAGATGTCGAAGAGGTTCTTAAGGACAAGGGTGATTTGCCCATTCAAGTGTACTCAACCATGATTCGAGGTTTAGGCAAAGACAAGAGACTACATTCTGCTATGGCTCTTGTTCAATGGCTTAAGAAGAGGAAAAAAGATGACAATCGTTTCGTTGGTCCTAACCTTTTTGTATATAATAGTCTTTTGGGTGCGGTGAAGCAGTCTGAACAATTTGAGGAAGCGGAGAAAGTCATGCACGATATGGCCACGGAAGGAGTGATTCCTAATGTTGTAACCTACAACACTTTAATGTCAATTTACATAGAACAAGGGCAAGCAATTAAGGCTCTTAATCTTTTTCAAGAGATAGAGAGGAAGGGTTTGTCTCCATCTCCAGCATCCTATTCTACAGCTTTGCTGGCTTATCGAAGACTGGAAGATGGTTTTGGAGCTCTAAAGTTCTTTGTAGAATTAAAAGAGAAGTATCAAAATGGCCGCATAGGAAAACATGGAGGTGAAGATTGGGAAAATGAGTTTGCTAAGCTTGAGAATTTCACAGTTCGGATTTGCCACCAAGTGATTCGACAGTGGCTTGTGAAGAGTGGCAACTTAAGCATTGAAGTTTTGAAACTTCTAACAGATATGGATAGGGCCGGGCTTCAAACTGGGAAGGCAGAATATGAGCGCCTAGTGTGGGCGTGTACCCGTGAAGAACACTACATTGTGGTGAAGGAATTGTATAGTAGGATTAGAGAGAGCAATTCTGAAATAAGCTTATCGGTTTGCAACCATGTAATTTGGTTGATGGGGAAGGCTAAAAAGTGGTGGGCTGCTCTGGAGATTTACGAGGATTTGTTGGACAAAGGGCCAAAACCAAATAACATGTCATATGAATTGGTAGTTTCTCATTTTAACATTCTACTGACGGCTGCTAGGAGAAGAGGAATTTGGAAATGGGGCATTAGGTTACTCGACAAGATGGAAGAAAAAGGCCTAAAACCGGGAAGTAGAGAATGGAATGCAGTTCTTGTGGCTTGTTCCAAGGCTTCAGAAACTTCTGCTGCGGTGCAGATTTTTAGAAGAATGGTGGAACGAGGTGAAAAACCCACGATTATCTCTTATGGGGCTTTGCTCAGTGCTCTTGAAAAAGGAAAACTCTACGATGAGGCCCTTCGTGTGTGGGAAAATATGATTAAAGTTGGGGTTGAGCCAAACGTGTATGCATACACAATTATGGCTTCAATTTACACTGCACAAGGAAAATTTAACATTGTAGATTCAATCATCCGAGATATGATTTCATCTGGAATTGAACCAACTGTTGTCACATTCAATGCAATTATCAGTGGATGTGCAGAGACTAACATGGGTAGTGCAGCATACGAATGGTTTCACAAAATGAAAGCTCAAAACATCTCAGCCAACGAAATTACTTACGAAATGCTGATTGAGGCTCTCACAAAGGATGGTAAACCAAAACTTGCCTATGATATGTACTTGAGGGCTCACAATGAAGGCCTAAAGCTCTCTTCAAGGGCTTATGATGCAGTCATCCAATCATCAGAGATTTATGGTGCTACTATTGATGTAGGCATTCTAGGTCCAAGACCACCGGAGAAAAAGAAAAAGTGAAAATTAGAAAGAAATTATCAGAGTTCTGTAATTTAGCTGATGTTCCTCAGACAAGTAAACCATTTGACAGAACGGAAATTTACACTCCACAGACAGAAGCAAACCTGTAAGTAACTTGTATTTTGTAATCTGTGTCATATATTTTGCAACTTGGGAGCTCTCAACCAACCTTTTATATAAGCATCTTCTAATGTAGATTGTTGGCTGCTTGGAAGACACATGTTCTTGCGTGTTTTTGCGAAATTCTATATAATGCAGATATTGGCTCAATCTTATTTTTTCTCCCCTTTTTCCTGAGCCATCCCAACTACTTGACTCATTCCAAGATTGAAGCAAATTAACATAAGTTTAATGTACATTGAGTAATCAGATTTCTCATGCTTCGAATGAGTCAAAGCTTCATTCAAAGCTTCCAAACTTAGAATAAACCCATCTTTTCTTATTATTATATGTTTATTTAATAGGAAAGAAACTAAAATTGGACTATGTATATATTGGTCTAAGTCCCACGTATTTGAAGATGGTGTGGTTTATGAATCTGATCCAATGAAAGCTTATTTCAAACATCTGATCATAGCACTAATGAAATCACTTTCTCAACTCTAATAAATGTTACTTTTTAGATAATGAATGGGGGCTTTTTTTTTAATTGATGGATTGCAATTGTGCTGCCTGATGACTCCAGTCAGTAATTGGGGCAGGACTGGAACTATGTGGGTACACGTGTCCCATTACATCACTCTCATGTATATGAAGGCCAAATTTGTTCAACCACTTAAAAAAAGTGGGTGAACATAGTCTGCAATCCTAGTTAATTCTTTCAAAGCAATGAATTTTGTGGGGTTTTACCCCTATAAATACGAGACTAACATCATAAATATTTTATATTTTAAAAAAATGTGTAATTTTGAAGAATACGCAATGTATATAATTCTTAGAAAATAAATTTTTTAAAAAAAAAGTATAAACAATTTGTTTAGGTGGATGAGTAAAATATTATAATTATATTTGCATGTTATAATTTATTTAATGTTTAATTCCTATAATTCAGTAATATAAAAATTCAACCACCTCTGTAACCTTTGAGGCATTTGAGAATTTTAACGTTATTATTAACTTTCAGATTATCGAGCCACATGTCCTTATGCAGCTCTCCTTTTAAAAAAAGTTGATCATCTCTATGCATGCAAGAAGAAGAACCTCTTCCCCTTCAACATACTTTACCATTCCCACTTAATTGGTTAGTTGACTAAGGTTTCGTTTTGGATAAAAAAAAATAAATTAGCATGACGTTTTAAGTTTTTAATTATTTTATCTTGACTAAAAAGTTTGAATTGTAGGAGAAATAGTGCCATAGTTATAATTTAAATGTGACATTTTATCTTATTTTAATTTTTTTAACCTATTTTATCATTTTATAAGCTAAATTAGCCCAACCCATACCCTACGAATCTAATAATGTCAAAAATTAGAACTATAATGCACATTTTATATGTTTTCACACAACTTTTTTATATATTAAATATATTTTCTAAACATATATTAATATTAAGGGTAAATTACACTCACTTTTCTTTAAATTTGAAAAAATGAAAATTAATCCTATATTTTCGAGGGAAATGCACCAATAAATCCTAAATTTGTATCTTGTGACTCATTTAGTCCTATTAATTTTCTTATGAACCGTTAGATCCTACCCCAATGTTGATGATCAAATTATTCACGTTACCGCGCGTGTGGGAAGTTAGGGCCAGGGCAAATGTGGGTTTTCACAATGTGTAATTTACGGTTATACCCAAAGGTTTAAGGTGATGTGTTTGTGTTATCCGGTGTAAGTGTTTTGAATGGAAGAGTCGTAGATGGAAAGGACTGTAGTTTCCGATGTTAATGGCGTAATGTTGGTGGGGGTGTGAGTCATTTGTCACAATCGACGGCGAGGCGTTGTGGATTGGTATCCTAAATTACAAAGTCATTAACGTTGTAAACCCTAGAAAATACGAACAACTAATAAGCCATCGTCGTTCTCCCTGGCTGTTCGCGATCACCATCTGAACATTGCTCAGTGGTCACCAACTGATACTGTGTTAGTTGAAAATGGCGTCAGGTACGTTGTTGATTTGAATGGGATAGGGGTCGATTTCGTATTTGTTGAATTGGTGAATGTGTGTAAGTATGTTGGATTGTGCTAAATGTTATGAACATTAGGATTTAGGATAATTTGTGTGCCATTATTGTAAAATTTGAGTTTAATTGTTGGTTGTCTTCGCTGAGAGGGGTGATTATTGACGGAATTAGTGTGTTAATGTTGTTGGGTAATTTGTGAAATTGCATTTATTTGTGGAATTGCATTCATTTTGTTTTGCTGTAGTTGAGGGTGATGTGTGTGGTGTGATGTCGTAATTGATTAGGGAGTGGAATGAATTTGTTGGGTTGGTTTTTTTCATACATATGAAGTAGTACATTTTGGCAAATGTAATGTTACTGGTTTTGGTGAATTTAAGGTTCGTTGTGGGTTTTACTGTATGTGTTTGTAGTGTAATGTTGTCGTCCTTCGTTGAATGTGTTTGGTATGCTTTTGAGTGTTGTTATGATGTGTCCATTTTGTGTAAGTAGAGACTTGTGATGTTTTTAAAATTTTACGTTACGCGGTGGTAGTCGTTCAATAACGTTGGAGTGTGTACTGTGATGTAACACGTTGGTTTAGGATTGAAGTATGAATGATCTTTTGTGCATAGTTGAAAGTAAAAGTGGTAATGTGATGTGAACGTAACGTTGGGAGGTTTACAGTAATGTGGGGCTTATAGCAATGAAAGGGGTTGGGAACGTAGCCGTGTAATGTGATGTGCAATGTAATTTGCCGTTGGTGAATTGGGTAGCCAATATGATTTTGTAATGTGTGGCGTGGAAAAAGCAATGGGATGTTTGTGGTTGGTGTGTGGAGATGAATATATTTATGATGTGTTGCGTATGGTGTTGTTGTGTCATATGGAAAAATGCACTGTAGATGTTGTTTATTTCAAATTAATGTGGTAAGGTTATGCATGCTATTTTGTGTATGTTGGTGTTGGTTATGATTACAATCTAAATGTATAGGTGACACACAATGCAGGTAGCTGTGTGGGGAGGAATGAGAAAAGGAGCGCTAGTGCATCGTGGTCGCAGTAGGCCGGTGAAACATCAACCAGAAAGGCCCCGAAGAGGCAATCAAGACTGCTATACAAGAAACAGAGGGTGAGTGTTAGTGTTAGTAAGAAGGCTGTTGTTAACACATCTAAGGCAATGTATCGGTCGAACATATCAGGCGTGATTAACACCGTGCTGGAGTTGGAATTTGGAGACGGTCACATTCGGGAAATTCAAAAAACACCATTCGCGGTTATGGTAGACGCTATTCGAGCTCACAATCTAAATCCGAAGTCGTTCCAAAAATGCGACGCCACGGTGTGCCGAATTATCCAGACTTACAACCCAAAAGATGAAAAGTTTCACATCGGTGGAGCAAAGCTACCCTTGAGGAACAACGACATTTGTTTGATTTTTGGTGTACAATGTGGAAAAGACAAGCTGAACTTGTCACGAGATTAGAAAGGTCCTTCAGATTTCATGCAAAGGAGATGCCCGAACGTTGGACGCATGTCATCCAAAGTTATTAAGGATCTGCTAATGGAAGCAATCCATGGCCGCACTCTACATGACGAAGAAGACATGGCGAAGTTGTTGTGTCTTTACATCTGTACAAAATTATTTTTTGCAACAACAAGCAAACATATAGGTTGGTCGTTTGTGCGTGTGATTGACAAACTGGAGACGTTACAGCAGTACGACTGGGCTGCAACTATCCGTAACACAGTAATCAATCTCTGAATGAGATGCACGGCAAGCCAGAGAGGGTAACAGGGTGTGTTATGGTGCTGTTGGTACGTACGAAATGAAATCTTCCAAACATCATGCACTGTTCCCAGATGTGAAATTGATAATGTTTTGTCTGATACAATTATTTGTTTTGTGTGAAATTGTGTTTGCAGTTTCTCATATGTGAACATTCGACCATAGTGACTCCGGAACGGCTTGAGTTGATGCCAAGATTTTGCCAATGGAACCTTGGGACTGTCGCAGTGAAACTGAAAGGGATAGACTTGAGGGCTGAAGGTTGTATTGAGGTATGACATGAAAACAGATTGAGGGGTGCTGTTTGCGTTACTATGAATGTATTATAATGTGTGTAATGTTTGGATTATGTTTCAGGTGCACTGCGATAAACTTGTTGGGACAATTAGAGAGTGTCATATTGTCAAACATGAGCCGGTATTGATTGATCGTACTGAAGGCTGCCAAAATGTGATGGATGTGGATCCAGTGACGGAGGGGGGAAATGTGGATCCTAGCTTCAATTGTTGGCAGACAGATTCAGCAGATGGTGGACATGTGAGGACAGAATGAGTAGATGTACATGAGAAACACAACAACGGCACGCCGACTAGTAAGGAAATGGTGGAGGGGAAAAAAATGAGATATGGAGAAGTCTGGCCAGTATTGTTTCCGGATCTTCTAGAACTGTCAAGCACACCAGAGGGTGATGCCGTTCGGCGAAAATCAACAGGAATGGAAGATGAATTGGAAAATGTTAAAATGAAAGTCACTTTGTTGGAGAGGGACATTGAAAGTAAGTGCGCACGAGTACATGAATTAGAACAGCGTGTGGAATCAATGGAGAAGATACTAGGGGCGCAGGCTGCTAATATGCTGATAGGGTTTGAGCGTGTTCTCAGTATGAAGGATGCTGAGATTGCACGCCTAACGAAGATGGTCAAACAAGCAAACACGCGAATAACCGATTTGGAAGATAGTCTTGATGATCGTGAGGTGCACAACGTTACGCAGTCCGTTGCGAACAGTGAGTCGAATCATCGGGGAGCTTGTAACAGTCGGTCGGGTGACAGTAATGGAGCAGCTACGATGACAAGTAGCGATGTTGCGCAACAATCATCTTCTCATGCAGGGCCGACCGAAGGCTTAGCCAGTCCCACGCACCAAGTTGTACAAATAGATAACTTGGGTGAAGATGTGAGTATTACTTGTGCCGATGGGTATGTATGTTCGTCTGTTGCAAGGGATGATTGTAAGAGGAATTCACGTAGCTTCCAGGCACTTCTAGATGCGTGTGATGGTTTGGATGTTGATGTTGAAGGCACAGAAGTTGTCTGTCGTGACAAGTCCAGCGAACCAAGTTCTGGACCGAAGATTACGTCAATGGTCAGACGTGTGAAAGAAGAGCCAAGGCGCGAGTACAGGCTGTGTGATTACGAGTACCCCAACGTATTTGGGAGGGTCAAACTGAGTGACAAAGTGAGGATTTGTAAATCAACGAAGCCAAGGGAGATATACACTGTCGAGGATATTGATGTGGGACGTAAAACATGGAATGGTTTTGGAATGACTTGGAGACACATTGTGTGAGGCATGTTGAAAGATGAAGATCGGAAGGTACTGGAGCAATTGTATAGCTTAGAAGGAGATGGGTAAGTTCTTTGTTAATTAAGTTGTCGTATGTTATCGTTTTAACGTTCAGTACATTATTAATATGTTTTGGTTTGTGGCGTACAGGTTAATAGTATGGGATGGCGGTGAGAATGGGATACAAGTTCACTTCACTGACATCAAAGATTTGGTACAGGAGAACTCGATTCATGGCAATGTATGCACATTTATCTTCTCCTTAAATGAATTCCTTACTGATTTGGTACCATTGCAAGCAGGGTTGGCTTGATAGGTTGGATTTTTTTTTTTAATATATTGCCACCGTGTCAGCGAATACACTGTGTGGTACGATTGTGTAGATTTTTTGTAAATGGAGACAATCAAATTGTAATGTTCACTACGTGGTGTAGGTAATAGATACGTACGCAGCTATGTTGACAGACATGCACAGGACGGTGTCAGGTAGAAGAGAATATAAAGGAACGGCATATGTGTACAGCAGCGTGTGCGCGGTAAGTAACCCCACTACCGCCCGTTGTGCTGTGAACACACAACCCGTACATGTATTCGTGCTAACAATTTCAAATTGTGGGGGTACGTGGACATTGAATGTATCTGCAGGACATGATGCGTAACACAAGCGCTTTGTCACGAACAAAGTACTTAAACGTACACATAAAGGCAGTGCGAGGTTCCAGATACACTGTATACCCAATATACCATGCCAACCACTGGACTGTCATGGTACACGATACAGACAGCGGGGATTAGAAACATTACAACTCTTTGAAACCAAGACGTGGTGTGCGCGATGAACATTACAATGAGGCTTTGAAAGTGGTAGGTGGTGTATTTATTCGTTAACAAATTGTAGTGTTAACATGGTACTATATCAGTTTTGAATTTTGAGTTTGAGTATGCATGAGTGATGAATGGTTAAGTTGATATGTTCGCGTAAGCAGGCACGTAATTGTATTAACATTAAATTTGTGAACAGAAACAGTGGGTGGCTTAACACCATAATGATTTTGTGAAACCAAGAATTCGAAATCATGATGTTGAGGTAGAGGATTTTAATGGCACACTTACATCTGTTGTGGATTGTCTGAAACAAGCCCCAGAGTCGTAAGTGCTGTTTTTTTAATCTTGTTTGCTCAAACCCAATCAATGTGTTGTGGACGTGAAATAACATATTACATGACTGCAGGTCGGACTGTGGAATCTTTGTGTGCTTCATTATTAGATAGTGCATCCGTGGAGCAGACGTCAACAACACGATGGACGGCCTCACTCCCACTACTATGCGCGTTGCTATGGTGGAAATTTTTTTAAGTTCCCCAGGAAAGGGACTACGTGCAATAACAGCAGAAAATATGATCAGCACCCCCTTTTTCAGTAGGAATCGCACCCCCTAGAGTAGCAGTTAGGTTTTAGCTAGGCAGTTGGGAAAAAATGTTAACCTATGTGTGAATAGTGCATGTTTTGTGGCATATTTTTTGGGTTCTAGCAAAAATCTGGTACATTATTAGCATTGTGAATGGTGTATTAACAGGTTTTCCGACGGTAGTATGGCCAGTTTTTTTTAGGTTTTGATAGCTGAATGAAACCAGTTTGCAAGTAATTTAAACAATAGCTCTTTTTGAATAAAATAGATTGGCAAAGTTAAACTACACATATATCTGGTGGATCTACATTGTTAATGATACGTGTGTTACATTGTTAGGCAACATTGATAGGCCACATTGTCCACGCTACATGACTGTCACATTGTCAACCTACAAGAAGGCTAGATAGAACTGCAAAATACCTGTGTATTATGAATTGGGGTCCTGTAAATTTTGCTAAACTTTGCCTATCATATATTGACTTGTGTAGTTGTTCATTATGATTTGAATGTATGTATAATATATGACAATTGAAGTAGTGGTGGCGCGGTGCATGTTCTTTAAGTTGGGACCACATTACACTGATTAGTAATGTAAATAAACAGAAATCTGTTACCACACACAAACTGCTGGTTGAGGCCCAAAAAATGCAAAACATGCTTGTGGGATTGAAACACCATTATCAACATTGTATTTTAGGAAAAACATTAAAATTGAAGACACTAAAAAATAGTTGGGGCTAACATGAATTGTGAAACCAATTTGAAAGAAAATACGGTAGTACTATCATGTATTTTAAAACTGAGTACGGTAAAAAAAAGTTAACCACATGGCATCCCATCTATATCGGCTCTTTGCATGTCTTCCTGTTATGGTTGCTGAATTTTCCACAACGCCCACGCCGAATACGTTGAACTACCTCGCCCTTAGATGGAATCTTCTTTCGTTTGGGCCTACCCGGTGAACGCTTGACTGTTGGCGGTGCTATCATATATTCAGCTGCGTTGACATTTGGCTTCTCCACGGTAGGGATAGGATAAATTGTTCCACTATATGAAGCGCGAAATGTGTCAATGTGAAATGCTCGATCTATGGAATCGTAAATATTCCTCCTGCTATTACGGAATGCAACAACGGCATGAGAACATGGGAACCCATTTATCTGCCACTGAAAACAGGAACACGTATGCCTACCCACATCGACCAACACCGACGGGTTGGAGTGAACCTCGTACACCTCGTCATTAGCCTGGCTAACACACCATGGCCTGCTATCGTTAAACGCCATCGCCAATTTCTTCTCCATTTTAGGGCATAATATACTAGCCCATGTATTGCCCTTAACTCTGTGTTCTGCCATCTGTTCCATGATTTGACCCCTTACCATATCAACTAGACGAGTAATGGGAAGATGACGCGCATCATTAACCCAATTATTGAAAGATTCAGCAGCGTTCGAGCACATCTCACCATACCATTGCCCCCTGAAAAATAACACAGTTACAGGGTTACGGAAAACATGTACAATAATGTTAACAAAAAGGAATAATTTGTACAACAAATGAAAGTAATAGTAATGTACAAATCGCGAATTACTTGAAATACGCATTAGACCAATGTTTGGGGTCCAAGTCCTTCATAAAACCTTCAATCACAGCCGGGCTACATTTCTTGAGTACTTCCATCTTCTCATTGAAACAATTAACAGTGGACGCGTATGTACATTCACGCAACTTGCGCATCAACCCAACCTTCTACGATGCATTAACATATTTCATGCGGTCACGTAAATTCATTTGGAGATGCACCAAACAATATGCATGATGTGCCAACGGAAATACATTTGGCAAACACTGCAACAGTCCAATATGACGGTCAGATATGAACGTTAATGTTCGGCCACCACTGACAACTTGTTTCAAATTTCGTAGAAACCATTCCCAATTGACTGCATTCTCGAAATCAACAACAGCAAATGCCACAGGAAATAATCCTACATACAAATCATGAAACAGATTAAAAATCAAACCCAACAATTTGGATACCAATGAGAAATTACGAACGAATAAAAGGTACGGAAATGTGTTATATCATACGTCACGAAAAAGTTGTGGAATGTGTAATGTGGTATATAAAATATTTTTGAAAAAAAAAATTGATCATGAAAAGATGTTTTACGAGTCCACCATGCTATCAACCCCATGACAACATGGTACTATATAACAAAACATTGAGTGGGCAAATGAACTTATAGTAAATACCATTCAAACACGTAAACCATACGGAAAATTATAATTGAAACAACATTACCTTGATTGCCGTCTTTCGCTGTAGCGGCAAACAAATTACCTTTGAATCTCCCCTTCAAAAACGTTCCATCCAAAAATAACAAAGGCCGACAATGATTGAACCCATCTATACACACACGGAACGATATAAAATACCGAATAAACTTCCCTGTTTGGTGCTCAAATTCAAGGTTAATGTAACTGTTTGGATTTTTTTCCATTACGGAATCACTATACCACCAAAGTTGGTCAAACGACATAGCATGATCCCCATACACTTCACCCATCGCTTTCTCAACACCCAACCATGCCACACGGTAACTAATCTCCAATCCATATTTTTTTTTCAAATCGAACACCACATCCGCAGGATGGGTCAATGGATGATCGCGCACCTGATCCGCAACAACAGTAGACACCAATTCAGAACCCGTACGTGGGTTCCTATAAGTCCGCACAGCAGCACCACAAGAGTGAACACTATCGAACCTCTTAATGCATAACACCCCCGTTGATGGTAACATCCTCGCATGAACTGACCACATGCACCCTATCTGCCCTGCAAACTTGCACACTGCAGTAATTCGAACCGAATCATTTTTAACATACTTGAATTGGAATCCACGTTCCACGGCGTACTTGCATAAAACTTCTCGGAATTCATTTGCTCCCCCATCAAAACATTGTCCCACATGGGTAATCCCATACGCCCATTGAACCGACAGAAATGTCTTTGACCTATTAGGACAGTATGTCGGTAACAAATCTGATTGATCCTCAACACTCGAAATCCGAATATCATCTTGATAATTCCCACCATCATCCGTGGAATCCAGCAAACCACAACTACCACCCACCCCACCACTTGGAGCCTGAACGATGACCTCAATGTGCTTAAGCCCGAACGATTTACCCAGACACAACATGTTGTTAATGTCATCATCACTAACCACCTTAAACCTCTTATACCTCGGAACATCGAACAACAAACAGACCACCCCCGGGACCAACCCATCAAATTTCCCACAAATGTCGTCAACAATCTGTGCAAACGTGACACCACGATGCAACCAAAACAGAACACTGGTCTGTCCATGGGTACACACTAGCAAAATCCCATCCTCCATACCTAAGATAGCAACATTTCAGACCCATATAACGTCGCAAAAAAAAAAAAAAAAAGACCATAACACTGGTCTGTTCGTGGGTACACACGACTAGCATCCCCTCCTTTAAACGTAAGACGACAACATTTCCGACCCAATTAACATCGGGGAAAAAAAAATTCCGAGGAATAGGGAACCAAAACGTTACAAACAAAGCAATGTACAAAACGAAACAACACCTTCCATTAGAGAACACCCATCTGTAAAAAAAGAAATGCAGAAACGAACAAAGAAATGTACAAAAAAATAACAAAACCATTAGAGAACACCCCATGTTAACATTGCCTTATCCACTCAAAAACTGAAACAACCATTTAGGTAACAACTCACACCAAGGGTATTCATGTAAACAGAAAATAAAAATAAAAAAACATCATTAAAAAACTTACCAAAAAAATAGGACTAAATGGTGTATAAAAAAATCTTTCAGGACTAAATGGTTTAACTTTCTACCATATAGGATTTACTGGTAATTTTTCCTATTTTCTATATATAATTATACTGAACTATTTTTTAATAAGATTAAAATAAACAAAATTAATGCATAGTAGGCACTGAAATAAGTAAAAATAAATAAATATTTTAGTTGAAAATAAATAATAATAATATTTTTTAATTCATACAACTAATGAATATAGATGAAAAATAACTTAATTATCATATAAATTAAAATCTCAACGAAAATAGTATGAGTTATTTTGGGAAGTGAAGGTTTTAATTTTTTATAAAAAGATATATAAAAAAAATAGAGAAACAATATATACATTTTTATTGTAATTTTTTGACATTTTGATTATTTTAAATAATTCCAAAAACACTCCTATAACTACATTAAAATTGATTTATTATTGGTTAAAATTATTTTCTTATTGATCAGAAACACATTTGAAATGAATCATTTTTATTTTTTTAAACTAGGGATAAATTTACCATAACATTTAAACTAGATATTTTTATGAGAGAATTACTTAATAGTGGAACAAAAAAATAAAATAAAAATAAAAATATAGAGAATGCAAGTGACTTTATGATAAAATACAAATAAAAAATTATAAAGATACAAGTCTTATTAACACCCCCTCCATATTTATATAATTTCTTTTTTTTATGTTCAACTAAAAAATAATTTCTCTTATTTTTATAAAAGGTAAATTATAAATATATCTCTTGAAATTTATTTAAAATATAAATTATTTTTTATTGTTTAGAAAATTACGAATCTTCTTGTCATAATTTTTTATTTAACAAATTTAATTAAAAAAGTAAAATTTCTAACTTTCATCTATACAATAATAAAATTATCTGAATTATTAATTGAAATAAAATTTTAATATTATTAAAAATTGTTAATTAAATCAATAATTTATTAATAAAATGATCTATTTATTATAAAATTAAAAACTTTAAAACACATAATATAATTTTTAAAATAACAAAAAAAAAAATTGCTGAATAACAGAATTAATTGAAAAAGTAAATTTTCTAACTATTCAGCTATACAATAATAAAATTATCTGAATTATTAATTGAAATAAAATTTTAACACTATTAAAAACTGTTAATTAACTTGATGATTTATTAATAAAATGACATATTTGTTATGAAATTAGAAATCTTAAAGGCATAATGTAATTTCTAAAATCATAGGGGTTAATTTGTAATTTAAGTAAATCTCAATGGGTGTGTTTGTAATTTATCCTATAACTAAACAAAACATAAGACATAACTAAAGAACTCATGAATTGTAAAATAATGTCGTAACTAAATAAGAAAATTATTCATAACTAAAGAAGAATATAGCATAACTACGGGTGCATATAGTACACCTTTTTAAATTGGTGTATATTAGAATTTCCCTTACTAACAATTTACAATAGTTACATGATTCAATATTTTTAAAAGAAATCGATATGTATCAATAGGTATATTTTTCGTTATATATATATGGCCGATTCTGACTTTTTGTAGCCCATGGCGAGTTTAAAAAATGGGGCCCTTATATATATATATATTTTTTAAAAAAAAAATTTTTTAACCAAAATGATAGCCAAACCAGGCCAAATATCTCGATTTTCAGCACAAAACTCAAAATTTTTTTGTTTTTTTTTGTTTTGAAAGATACATGTCAGCGACAACGTGACAGTACTGTTTTCAAATCAGGGTAGTCATTATTCCATGAAACGCAAGCCATTCCCTTTGCTTTTGATTTAAGCCAAATGGTGATATAAAGCAAGAATTTAAAAAAGATTTGAGAAGAAATAGAAATTGAAGAAGACTGCTTTAAACTGTTCGTTGATTCAAAAACCCTTCTTCGTAACTACCCCGCTGTCCTCAATCTGCCAACGGTTGTCCAACCGTTTGCTGATTATTAATCTCCAAAACCCATATATGATTTGATTTTCCAATCTTGTTTGTTCATTTCAAAGAAAAAACTTCAGAGAATTCAAAATGAGAGAGAAAGAGAGAGACCCAATTAGTGTTTCTTGGATTTTATGAGGATTTGGTAACCAGAACAGGGGTTGAGCGACAAGTTCAGATTATCTTAAGTTGTGGGTTGTGTAATTGCAGAGATTTGAGGTTGTGTTTGTGATGGGTTTGTAGTAATTTTGTTGGGAGAGATCAAGGTATGGAGCCTCCAAGGGGGTTTTTGGCTTCTTTATGGAGTTTTATCTGTTTCTTGCCTTACTTCATTGGCCTTCTTATTCTGGGATTCATTAAAGGTCAGTCCCAATTTCTTCCTTTTTGGGGGCTTTGTTTTGTTTTTTTACTTTGTTCTTCCATGGTTCACTTGTTTCCTCAAACTGGGTATCTACGTATCTAGGTTTTTGCTATCAATAGTTATCTGAATCTTTGATTTTATCCTTTTTGAAGGAAATTTATTCTTCATATCAGTTGGAAATTTCTGTATCCTTGTTGTTATGCGATCCAACTGTGCTTTAAATTGGTGTGTGTTTTTGCAGTTGTTTGTTAGAACTTGCTTTCTTATCTCTCTTCATATTTGATTATTCGGTCCGAATAAAATTTGAACTAGCTGTTTGAATCCCTTTTAAGTATCCAGTATTTCTTTGTATTTACTATGCATTCCTAACTGCATATTTAACTCAGAATAATTTATAAGTGAAATAGTTAGTTCTTGCCATGTAAAGCACAATAACTGCTCTACAAATGGCAAGGGCTCTGTTTGAAGGAGAGATAATGTGTATGTACTTTAATTAAATATAGATTCATCAATGTTGAGTCTGTGAATATGTTAATTTGGTGAACTTGGAAATTTGTGTGTGGAGGGATGCTATAATCCTGGAAAAATGTGATTAGGCTTATACTGAAGTTTTATTTCAGGTATCATTTTCTGCCCGCCGATATGCCTTATTATGACAATTGGAAACTCTGCACTAATTTTGGGTCTCTGGCCTGTTCACTTTTTGTGGACAAATTATTGCATTGTAAGGTGTGTTATTGGACTCCTCAATATCCATATATCATTTCTTCACCCAATTATCTTCTCTAACGTGTAGTGATTGCTTTCTCACTTCTTTGATGACAGATCTAAGCAGTTTGGGCCAGTTTTGAAGTTTGTTCTGTGTTTATTCATTTCTGTTTTATTGATTTTGTGGCCATCCATTGGCATTGTTGGAAGTATTATTGGTGGCGCTGCATATGGCTTTCTTGCACCGATGTTTGCCACTTTTAAAGCTGTCGATGAAGGGAAGACTGATAAATTTTACCACTGTATTTATGTATGTTTGAAATGTCCCAACTATTAATGTTTTTAAAATTTGATGTTCTTTGAATCTTTGTACCTTTGATGCTGATAAATTCTCTAACTATTAATGCTGTAGGATGGAACTTCTGACACTGTCAAACAGAGCTTTACTTTTGTGAGGGACTTTATGGATATATGTTACCATTCTTACTTCTCAGTTACGGATGACCTACGGAGTCAGGGGCATCAAGATGGAAAATATTTTGAGATTAGGTCTGTTGTTTGTGCTTTTAATGTTTGGAACTATTGTTTGTTTTAGACTCTTATCAATTATCAATTTGTTTCAGACTATAAACCTGAAGTAGAATTTTTATTCTCATATGGAAATCCTCAAAATAAACAAAATTGGCGAGCCTGTTAGAACATTTATAGTATCTTGCAGTCTTGTGGTTGAAAGTCGAAACATCATGGTTGCCACATGTCATTTTATTTCCTAATTTTAGATATTTACTTTTGATAAACAAATAACCTTAGCAGCCAACTCTAAATCATAAAAGTATATAATTTCATGCAGTTGGAAAGAAACAGATCTCTTGATTACTTTCGTAGAGTTGATTAGTTTTTTTTTTTTGGTAAACCTCGGCAGCACGAGAGGAAATATTAATAATCCAAAACCGAGATGGGGACATAATGAACCTTACCTCTCTTGCAAGAGTTGATTATTGGATTCTAACTATCATGGTCCATAAAACTTATGCATTTATCTTTTCCTTTCTTTCATTACTTTTCCGCTTCATCCTCAAAGAAGATCGCTGCCTCCTTTCTTGCTCCTCCTCCGCCTTCGCCGTTCTTCATTGCACCGTCCCCCTCCTGTGCCCAAACTGATGGATCTGCCGCATGTGAATCGTCAAATCGGTGTGATTTCGGTTTGATTGGTGTGATTTGGGTTTGATAGTGGTTTGATTGGTAGTTGTTCCTTTGTTTAACAGAACCTTTTTGCTAAATATTTGCAGATTGCTCTATCTTCCTGGTGCTATTCTAGCTGGGGTCCTTGGTTTCTTGGTTGACTTGCCAGTGATCTCACTTGTAGCCCTATGCAAAAGCCCTTATATGCTCTTTAAGGGGTGGCACCGTTTGTTTCAGGACTGTATTGGTCGGGAAGGACCTTTCTTGGACACCATTTGTGTACCGTTTGCAGGTCTGGCCATCTTACTCTGGCCCTTGGCTGTTGTTGGAGCAGTATTAGGCTCCATTGCTTCAAGCATCTTCTTAGGTGCTTATGCAGCAGTAGTTGTTTATCAGGTTGAACTAGTTTTACTTCCAATCGCTCAGAACTATGTTATACAAATCTCAAATTGCTTTTCTTAATTTATATTTTCCTTTCTATGGGTTACAGGAGTCCTCTCTGTGGTTTGGGCTTCGCTATATTGTTGCTTCCTTGTCTGTATATGATGAATACAGCAACGATGTTCTCGACATGCCAGAAGGGTCCTGCTTTCCTAGGTTCTAGTTACCACTTAAATTCTATGTTTAATATGGAGGCCCTGCTCATTGCTTTTTATCCTAATTATTTATTTGTTATTTCCTAAATTGCTGATATTTAAACAGGCCAGAGTACCGAAAGAATTCTGTGCAGTCAGAAACTGCCTCTCGTGCAACTTCTTTCTCAAGGCCCAACTCTTTCCGAAATCCTCCTGCTCGTACAGAGTCAATAAAGGCTCCTATGGTGGAGTTGAAGTCACTTGAGGTATTGTATTACTTTTCCATTTGAATTTTGCAGATTAATTTCATGCATTTTTGTGATGCCTGGCCAGATCCATACAAATAATTAACACCTGTCACAGTTTTTCGATGCTTTTCGATGCTAATCAAGGTGAATACTTGACTGCTGCAGTTATTTGAGAGTTTATTTAAAGAGTGTAGACGACACGGAGAAATGATGGTTTCTGAAGGACTAATAACACTTCAAGACATTGAACATGCCAAGTCTGATAAAGATAGTGGCAGAGTCATAAGCATTGGATTACCGGCTTATTCCCTTCTCCAGACACTATTACGATCAGCAAAAGCTAACTCTGCTGGTTTATTGTTAAGTAAGTGAAACTAATGCTTCTCCTCATATCATGACATTTTCCCACCTCCTAAGACCTAACTGATTAGGCAGTGTATGAAGAATGATTATGCAACATTGTTTTCAATCAACGCAGATGACAATGTTTCTGAGATAACTAGCACAAACAGACCTAAAGATGCCTTCTTCGATTGGTTTCTTAATCCGCTTCTGATCATCAAAGACCAAATCAAAGCTGAGAACCTCTCTGAGGATGAAGAGGACTACTTAGGTAAATTGGTTCTGCTGTGTGGAGATCCTGAGAGGATGAAAAACTCAAATATTGGCTCGGCACCTGAATCTGAGCGTAAGAAAGCCGAACTTGATGCACTTGCTCGAAGGTAGTAATGCGAAATTTTTCCAAGAATTATTTTATTTCTGTCATTTAAGTGTTGAAATTTTTAATGCCCTCTTCAACAGAGCTTTATTTTCATAAGCCGATTTCTTTTTATTTTTTTTTATTTTCTTCCATGAAGGCTTCGAGGAATTACCAAATCTATGTCTAGGTATCCGACATTCAGGCGTCGTTTTGATGATAGCATTAAGAGCATTTCTGAATATCTTGCCAAGAAAAATGGTGGCAGCAATTCGAATAATGGGCAGCGAACTTTTCAGAGGTCTACAAGTGCCTTATCCCGTATAATTAGCCAGAAATCGTTTAATAAAAGCAGAACAGGCAACACTGGATCTAATCAAGTGTCCCAAACAGTTATCGAAAGAGATGTGGAAATTGTTTGACGTGAGATATGCTACATTGGGAACACAATGTTCCAAATTGTTTTACCTATGTATCAATTATAATCTTCTGTATCACTACTTATTAATTCTTATGTCATGTTTGTGGATATTACAATCCTTCACTTGAGTGTTTTTCATTTAGATGAAGGAAAAACACACTTTCATTGGAAAAGTAGTACTCGTTGAGAATTTTCCCTAGAAACAATCAACTAGATTGAACAGAAAGTATACAAAACTCCTTTCCCAGCCTGATACAATTGCACATGAAGAGAACGTAAATTGAAGTATGACTCAAATTGCCTACCCTAGCTCACATCAAAAGATTTAATAAGACAAAAGTAAATAAATTGAAAGAGAAGAATGCTGTCTATTCCACCTTCCTGTTGTCTTTGAGTTGTCCCTTCTTTCGAATTGCGAGGCAGAACCGCAGACTCCAAGCATCAACAATGGACTCAGGCAATGAGTATGCCAACCCCCACAGAAGAGAATGGGGCCAGTATGGTGTGCAACGTGGTTCATAGCCTATCCAGCGCAAGGCAGCTCCAGCATAACTGTCTATTGATGGAACGAGGAAGGAGGACCTTCTGATTGATGCCATCTTTGTTGCCACGTACAAAGGCACCTATATTTGTGAAAATAAATAAATCTCATTAGTGTGTCAAAAATGGATATGAAACCAAAATCTCAAGTTTATTTTGATTCCTCAAAATTACTACATCTACAGTTCTCTAGTGAACCAATTGTTCACCATGAACACGTACATGCTTGAGTGGACTTTGCTTTTCTCTCCACATGTGCATCCCCGTAACCTCCAGTTGATGATGAGCTTGAGTTCTTCGCCTTCTTCGAATTTCCATTACTGAACAGAGATTTTAAAAAGCTCGCGAGCTTGCACCCAGCCAAGATCGGCTGTTTCTCCTTCTTTGAAACACTAGTTGTCTTCACTGGCTTTGGCCTCTTTGAAACACTAGTTGTCTCGTGCTGGGGGAGACATACTCGGCGGAGGCTCGCCATGTCTTCGTCCATGACACTATGGCTCTGCCTCTGTTTCTCGTTCTCGCTGTCCATGGAAAGGCAGATTTCGTCAAGAATACCGGAAGCGAATGATGGGAGATGGGAGGTACATGTATTTTTGACGACTCTATTGTTGTAAAAATTCTCGTTCCCGCCATCCATGGAACGGCAAATTTCGTCGAGAATACTGGTAGCAAATGATGGGTACATGCATGTATTTTTATGCATGTCCATTATATATATATAACAAAGAGGGAAAAAAAAAAGAGAATTATAGAGAAAGATCAAGAGAAAAAGAGTTGGGGTCTGGTGTTTTGTAAAGAGAGAAGAAGAAGATGCGAGTACGATGAAGAGAATAGTGGAGAGTCTGGCTTTTTGTTGTTCAAATAAATAAATAAAATTTAAAAAAAAAAAGGCAAGGAAGGGAATTGTGGATGGGGCGTCCGAGATTGAAGCCTCCAGTTTGGCATTTTCAGTGTGAAAATATTTCATACCTTTTCAATTTAAAATTTAAAAAAAAAAAAAAAAAAGTTGCGCAATTCAGTTGGGCTGACATAAAATAAAAAAGAAAAAAAGAAAAAAAAGAAGAAGAAGAAGTTGCGCAATGGTAATTTTTATATTAAGTTTTTTGTTAAAAAATTATTTTTACAATTATTTAAACTATTTGTATTAGTAATGAAATGGTTTAAACTATTGCATAGCATATAATAATGACGTTTTAGAATTTAATACGAGACTTAAGAAGAAAAGATATTTAAAAAAATTATTAATTTGTACTCATTAAATATTTTAGTCCTTTTTTATTGTAAATATTATTGTTCTTTTTTTGTTGTCCACTGAAGGCTTGTAAAATCATATCAGTTTTTCATTTGATTGGCTACAAACATGTATTATTGTGTTTTAAAACAACTGCATTAAAAGCATATTGAGGGTTTCCAACTTTTACAGTAGTTCAATCATGATAAAGTTCATCCTTACAATTAAATTTGATGTTAATAATAGGTGTAGATATTGATACATGATTAGTATTTTATAGTACATCTAATAGAACAGTATTATACAATCAAATAAAATTTAAAATTGCTTCTTTTAAAGTAACGTGGCTCCTATATGCTATGTTATGTTACTGTCTCATTTTAAATTTTAAAGATTTATTGTAGCATGTCACTACACTACAATTTTTCATTATGCTTTTGATTAGGAATTAATAAATGTTTGGACATTGGACTTATGAAAGAGAAGTGTATGGAATACAAGTTTTTATATTTTTTTATTTTTTTTTTCCACTCCTCTTTCTTTCATAAATTGTCTTGAAATTCAAAATCAAATACAGCCTGAGATCCTAGTTGGTAATCTCTAAATAAACATTTTTTTTTTACTAAAAAAAGTTAAAAAGAGTAAAAAGTCTTTATGGTTTGACTAAAAAACCCTCTCCATAAATTTTTTTCTTGTTAAAAGACGATTTTACTCTCTATACTTTGAAAACTTCCACCATGTCCCTTTGATTATGTTAATAAAGGCTCAACAAACACTATAAGACTAATATGGTACTTCTAACAAAAAAAAGTTGAAATTTGAAAAGACTCACAAAACTTTCTCCATAATTAAAACAATTTTTTTAACAATTACCAAACTTATCATTTTTTCACATTTAAAAAATGACAAAAAACAATTGCCACACCTCATCTAAAAGTTTTTGCAAATTTCTTGAGCTGGTGATGAATAATCTTAATGGCGAGTAGGTCTTGGGCTACATTTTTTTTTTTTTCCCTGTTTTTAGAATGTCCATGCAACTACACTATTTACTACTTCAATCAAAGTGGTTCTCGAATTATTCAAACGGTTACTTACTTAGATTTGCATTGTATGCTTACCCAAGTATAATAGTGGTGGTTGTTGCTATTACTATGATTGTATTGTATTTTATTAATTCAATCTAAAAAAAGCCGTTTAAGCATAAATTCGTCAAGAAAGGAATTAGGTGTTCAACAAATGTCTTTAAATTTCACAAAAAAAAAAAAAAAAAAAAGCCTTTAAAAAGTATTCTAGACTTTCAATTTTACTTTTGCACACCTAGTTCATTATTCCAATTGTCATAATCTTATCATAATGTTCATATCTCAATTCATAAGCCTACAATGTTAAATCACATTTTGTTAGGGAAAATACTAAGTACCGCTAATGACCAATGATTAATATAAGTATGTATGTGTAAAAGATATATAAAATACGTAAAAAGTGTTGATCGATTCGTTCTTATTCAATTATGGGCTTGAAAATTCTTGAACCAATCAATTTGTATAGTGTTATGTCCCATGGGAGAGGGAAGCTGCATGCATTGAAGGTAAAGTGATGACATAATATATCATAACTTTCTTTAATTAGTTTGTCTCAATGTCATTAGTAATGATTATATTATGTTATATAGTACCCAAAAAAAACATAGTAGTGCCAAAAAAATTATATTATTTTATATTTAATATATGTACTTTGATACATAATTACCGCATATAATGAGTGTCTTAACTTTGATGCAAAACAAAAGAATTTGACTATAGGTAGAAAATAATTGTCCCATGCAAATCACTAATTATTGTAGAGTCCTTAGAATGCAATAAGAAATAAAATTTAGGCGAACATTTTAAAGGAGTGTTCTTGTGCCAAAATAATAATAATAATAAATAAATAAATGTATTCTTAATTTTTTTTTTCAAATGATTTGTTTTCCATGTAAATACTTTGAAAAATCCATTAATTAAGGGATTTGAAAGGTCAATAATAGAAAATTTAAAATGTGTTACTATAATGATCAAATAATTAATTACAACCTTAAAAAATATATATAATTGAATTATTAAATAATATGTGTCTTTTTGTATTTTGTAAATTTAGAATTTTCAAAAAAAAAAAATGAATTAATGCTTTGGAGTTTAAAAATTACACAACATTTTTGTTTTATATAATAGTAATTTTTTCTCTACGTCTTATACAATGAGGTAAATTGCATTTTGTTTTTTTTTTTTTTTGGTTGAGCCATCGAATTTCATTTCAACCTCTCATTTCTTAATGCTGTTTTATCACTTCCTCTTCCTTCTTAGAGTAGCTAATTTCATCTATGTGTCCTTGTCAAAAAGTAAGAAAAATACAAGAGTGCCACATTCCCGTTAAAAAAACTTGGTAACTAAATCATAGAAATATAGAAAGAAAGTTGCAATGGTTAAAGGTGATTATTTAGATTTTGAATTTTATTGTTAGAGAGAGAGAAGGAAATATGAACAGAAAAGTGATTTACATTTCAATTTTTTTAGAGGTTTTCTATCATCAAAAGGTCTAACTCGAAATTGAAGATTTCTAGAGAATATGAACATTTGGGAGGGATAGACACCCAAACAATCGTCTCTTTTCTTGGTCTTAGGAATTTGGATGCTAACACTCTCCATATGTTGAAGCGAGACAAATTAACAATGATGATAACTCATCATAGATTTGATTTAATAAGAAGCATGTCTATATATTCAAAGGAAATGATATTATGGTTAATTTGCTAGTAATATACTAGCTATATATATGCATTGATCACGGTTAAGTCTTGCTTATTTTTTCAAGTTGAAATTATTTACAATAATATTATAAAGCTAATGTTACACCATATGCAATTTGTGACATAATTCAATCATATGAGAGTCATAACTATTAAAAAAATAAGTTATAAACAAATACCACATAAGGTACAAACCTAGAAATGAGTCATAACTATTTAAAAAGAGAGATTTTGTTGTTTAAGTATTATCAACTTTCACAATCAGTATTAAATAGAAAGACTGTGATAGGCATACAATTGGCAATTGCAGATCAACTCAGATTTTATTTTTGTAATAAGTATTGTTTTTCAAATTTTAATAAAAATTCAAACAAATTTGTCTTTAGTGGGAGTGCCTTAGTTGTACACTCAACAACATCAAGTTAGTTATTTTGTTCAATTCAAAATTCAAAATGTCATAAATTTTGATTGTGTATATTCTTTTTAAATATAATTAAAAAATTTAGAATCTACTTATTGTGATATAAAATAAAATGGATTATGAAATTATACATATAAAAAACTAATAAATTTAGCAGTTTTTGAAGTAAATTTCTTAAACTGTGAAATTTCAAATGTAATAGCTATTCAAACTAGGGATGGCAATTTAAACTCGGACCGACGGGGACCCGACTCCCCGACTCTGATTTGAGCGATTTTTTCCCGAAAAATACCCCCGACGGGACGGGGATGGTATTCAAAAATCAATCCCCGATCAGTTTCGGGCCGAGGACAGGGATAAGTGTCCAAGCCCCGTATCCGGCCCGGCCCCGTCCCCGCCCCCCATCGCCCACTCTCTCCCTTCCTCCGCAGTCTTCTCCCTCCTCTCATCACCGCCGATCTGCAACGATCATCACTGTCGACTCCTTCCACCACCGTCCTCTCCCTCCTCCCGTCACCGCCGATCTGCAACGATCATCACTGCTGATTCCCTCCCTCCGTTGTCCTCCTCTCCCTCCTTTTATCACCGCCGATCTACAACGATCGAGCTAGAATTGAGATCTATAACGATCTAAACTGGGATCTGCAACGATCGAGCTACAACCCAGATCTAAAGGTAGATCAACACATCTGGTGTGTTTGTGATGAATTTGGATTTGATGAAGTGATTTTGTTTGTTTGTTTGTTTGTTTGTTTTTTTTTTTTTTTTTTTTGCCCTCTACTCTTTTTTTTTTTTTTTTTTTTTTTTTTTTTGCCCTCTGCTCTTCAACGTCCTTGTCCACCTCTGCGTTTCTGCCCTCTCATCTTCAATTTCTTTTTTTTCTTTTTTTTTAAAGTTGATGATTGTTGTTGATGATGATGAAACATACTGATTAATTTATTATTTTTTTTTGTTCTTGTGTTGTGTTGAACAAAATTTTTTAAAAAAAAAAAAACTAAGGATATTTCGGGGACGGTCTGTCGGGGATTTATCGGGGTCGGGAAAACCCGATCCCCGTTCGGGGGCGGGGGCGGAGGCGGGGGGGGTGATGGGTTCCCCACTGGGGATCGGGGACGGGGACGGGGACGGCGATTTTTTCACCTTTGGTGATCGGGGACGGGAAGTGCAATCCCCATCCCATCCCAGCCCGTTGCCATTCCTAATTCAAATTGAAAAATTGCAAAATTATATATTGTTTTTGTGTTTGAG